CATGCTCCCACAAGGGCTAGATGCACAAAAGCTAGACTCTAGCTCAATAAAGCTTGGATCTTTGGTCTCTCAAGTCCTTCTACAGTCCATATCTGAGGTTTCAACCTCATGATATGCTCAAATAACTCATTGCTAAGAATGGATGGGAGAAAACCCTCAAAATCTCCCTAAATCAAGATCTCACAAAGGAAAGGTCAAGATAGGAGCTTTTTACCTTTGCACTGAAGCTACCCACTGGAGAACTCTGGATCTACATCCCCTCCTTGATCAAACACACCAAGCTCTCCAAATCTCCTTCAAAGGATGAACAAAACCACTCAAATTAGCTTCTCACTCACTCTCTAGCTCTATTGGCGATTAGGGTTTGCTCTCAGGGGTGTAGGGTAACTGGTGAGGCGTAAATGGGGGCATAAGTTCCCTTATATAGGCCGCAACCTCGGGAAATTAGGGTTTCTATGCCCATAACCTACTCGACGAGTCGGTTCTCTGACTCGTCGAGTCCACTCATTAATTTCATGCGAGCAACTCGACTCGACTCGGCGAGTTGGACCCTCAACTCGTCGAGTCTCTCCATAAATCTCAAGATTAAAATACAAAATAATGTACCTGAAATCGGGTGTTACACCTAGATTTTCCAATGATAATGCTGATGTGACAATCTAACCCTTATATGATTCCATGACCATTGAGATATGATTTATTGAAAATCTCCATATAATAGCACAATTCAAGTAATGGTATAATCATTTACTTGTAATATGAAGTTTAGCGACAATTTTGGAATATAAACTTTAATGGTGATTATAGGTGATATAAGGAGGATGTATTGTTCATAATCATAGTTCTATATTATGGATTAGGGATTAAAGGTCAACATGAAGAATCATCACATCCTAGTGTGGTTCTAGTGATTGATGGGACAAAAGGGAAATATAGAAAACTATAGAATGAATTTGGTAACTCCATATCTGTACTAAGTACCTATAATCCTTAGAATGTGTTTTAGCATGATTTTATGCACTTGGAACATTCATTTAGACATTGAATGATTTTGAAATGATTCAATTGATGATTAGATCTAACATTAATGGAATCCCTAATTTCATTCCATTGATTTCAGTGTTGAAGCTAGATAGCTTAATGGTATGTTATGTGATGAATTTATAGTTGGTTAATGAATTTAAATAAATATTTGGTGATTATATGATCATTTGAGGTCATTATGAAATTTAAATAAGTTATGATGCTCATATAAGTAATCTCAAAACTCATATGACATCTAGAATGTCTTAATGATTAAGTCATCATGATGATAGGGCTTAATTGAGTATTTGAGAAGTTGATAGGGGTGTGTCCTTTTGACACGGGGTGTGTTAAATGTTCTTTTAAGTGTACTATTTTTCGTGGAAAACCTAGTGAATGATCCCCCGATTGCCCTCAAATTTTATATATAAGCTAACAAGAAGTAAATAAGCTTATGGGGAATATCTAAATGATAAAAATATTAAAGGGGCAATTTGGTCATTTTTAGTAATTTATTATGATTTTATAAGTAGTGGTTGAAGGAAGTTTACCATTGAAGAAGAAGTGATTGTAGGAAGCTAGAAGCTAAGGTGAGTTACTAGGAACATGCATTCCCCTACTTACTCATTTCTATTTGATAAGTTTTACTTGATTTTCATCACATGGTACTCTATGTACCCATTGATTGGTATGTGACCTAATTGTGCATTAATGAAATGTGATTTTTGAAATGTTTTGATAAGCCAAAGTGCTGAATTTTGAAAAAATGTTTTCATCATCCTATGTGTGCATATTCATACTAGATGGGTGTGAGTTTGAGATTCCTAGATACCCAAATGGACATTTGTTATTGTTGTTGTTGTGAGTAAATCTCTAGATAATGCTCACATGCACGAGTAGAGGCTCGCTACCCCTCGTGTGGCGTTGGATGGCCCCAAATTGTGGATGTAAGGGCAAATTTGACAATTTCGTCTATCATATGTTATTCACATCCGACCATCAACTTGTGAGTTGGACTTTGAGATTGACTTCGGGTTGGGAATAGATGCATGCATAACATTGCATTTAGCTTGAAAATCTTATCCATCTTTTGTCATTGTTGGAGTATAATATTTACGCCCTTTTTCAACTAAAATGTTAATTATAATTTTTTGGAAGGATTTATTCGAGTATTGAGATTGTTATTCCTTACTCAAAATGAGTTGATCCTCGGGTAACTTACTAGACATTTCATTGTCTAACTTATTTTGGATTTATGTTCAGATTGAGAGGTTTGGTGCTTAGAAGATATCGTGGATTTTAGAAGACCCCGACTTGTGACTTGTGAGGAACTCGAACCTTTGTTATGATACCTAATGAACAACTTTGCTTATTAGAACTTTTATTTGACTTTTGGGGACCGTTGAACTTTTCCGCATCAATTTGAAACTTTTGAACTTAAAAGAGTTTACATTTTATTTGAAAATGATTTTACAACTCGGCCCTAGCCATATCCATTTCCTCCGGATAAGGTTTAAGGTTTGTTGCTACCCTGGTTACCTTACCTGATAGCTTGATTATATATATATATATATATATATATATATATATATATATATATATATATATCAAGGTTGTAAAAGACGCTCGACGGTAGCTTGGCGGTGGACTGGGGTCAAGGGATTAATCGGTTAGACGGGGATTAATCGGGGACCCTTAATTATTAAGAAAATTATTATTTAATTAATAAATCTAACTTTAATCCTAATAATATAAGTAAATAAGCAAAAAACTTTAATAACAAGTTTAAAAAACACAACAAATTATCATCCAAAATAAACATAAAAGGTTAAAAATGTGATATATTATTCTAAAAACATAAAGTTATTGAACAATAAAGATTGTGAAATATTCTTGTAAGAATGAAGAATTAATTTGTGAGGAATGAATCTAAAAAGATATACAATTCTTTAAAGAATGGAATTAATATTCAACTCGAATACAGGTTCCTCCATCTTGAACTCAGGTCTCCTTCTCTTGATCATCAACCCTTATATCTAATATCATATTCTTTGAGAATGAGAAGTCAATTACCCACATCTGAATACAAATTCCATGAGTCAAAAATTCTTGTTAAAAATTGTGTTGTAACTGAAATTCATTAGAAAGAAAATTCCTGAATTCTCTAAAAATAAGAGAAAATTTTCCCATTATCAGATTATGTACTTTATATTTAGAGAACAATTATTCATAAAACTTGGCTAATAAAGTCCAACGATTAGGATCTATAACACAATTTAATCTTATATACTCCAGCATTCGTTTTATGCTATAAGAAGTATAATCATTAATTTGAAAATAGAAAAAGCACAATGACCATAATCAAGAAAACCATGGATGCCCCAACTTCATTTGGATCATGGAACCTGTACAGCCATGTTATCAAAATTTCCAATTTCAATTTAAAAAGTCAAAACACATTTCTTTTTAGAAGAACAAGAAGAAAGAAATTCAGTTAGTTTCCTTCATCCAAGTGCTTCTGATACAATTTTAACACTTCCAGGGTTTCCTCTTCATACCACTTCACAAGCCGTTTCAAAAACTTGTTTTCTGAATACATCTAGCACTTGTTGAACCAAACACCATTTTTTCCTCAGTCAACCCTTCTCTGCTAAATAATGATAAACCAAACACCAATGAATAACCCTTTCTCATGATTTCTCATGTTTAATCTCGACAGTAAATAAAAGAAGAAGCGAGACTAACCTTTGCAGATGATGACGACCGGATTTCGGAGATCAGACGGCGTCGGAGGAGGAACAGAAGGCGTCGGAAGAAGATCAGACGTCGGAGTCGAGAAGGTTTAGAACGAGACTGTCGTGAGAAGCTTCAGAAGGTAAGGAAGTCGATATCGGTGTGCTTGCGGCAACGAGGAACCTCATAGATGAGGAAGATGTTATCGACATCGTGAATGGAAAAAAAAATGGCCGCATTTGACTTCATTCATCGCTCGTTCCTTCCTTAGTCGAGAGAGAATTTCAAAAAAAAAAAAAAAAAGACTGAATGCAATGGAATGGATGAACCCTAACATCAAGTTTTAATTTTCGTTGACTTGCGTTGACCGATTAGAGCGCCTAGACCCGCCTAGCTCCGATTATCTCCGACTTTGACCACGTCCGATTATAGAGGCCGATTAGCTATAAACGTCTTCAGTGGAGGACCGCCAAGCGCCTAGACGCCGATTAATCGGCCGCGTAGGCCGATTTTTATAACACTTATATATATATATATATATATATATATATATATATATATATATATATATATATATATATATATATATATATATATATATTCATTTTCTTTTACTTTTAGCATTTTTAATATTCTTTTTGCATTAAATCGTTAGATTTATTGCTTTGGATATTTTTACTCGTTTAAGTTAATTTTGTGTAGATTTGTACGAACAAGATGATATTTTGAAGTATCGTTAAAGCCACATTGAATACCTTGCAACCACGATTGAAGTCTGTAGCAAAATTTGTGAGCGACAAGAAAAACAAAGCGATATAAATTAATTTTTGGATTTTGACAGCATTGCACGATCTTTTTCAAGTGATCACAAGAAAGGGCAAACGTTATCCGATTGAACTGAAATTTTATAGACCAACTGATTGATCTTCGATCTCACCAAAAATGAATGGACTCCAACAAGCCTTTTGCAGATTTTGGCCTCATGAACAGCAATGCAGAAAGCTACCAGCTTTAATTTTGGCAGCCTTTTTTCGGATTTTTAATAGCTCGTTTCATGTGATATGTTGCAGCCCAAAACGAAATGAATATCAAGCCCATCAGGTCTTATGTGGGCTGAGGAAAAACACAACAAATGAGGGCACAAAAAAAGAATAAATAAATAAAGTAGCCATCGCATTTCATTTTTACGCCGGCAAAAGAGTGTGAGACCAATTTTCTTATATAAATAACTGCATTGAGCTTTGATGATGGAGTACCAAGAAACAAAGAGAAGAAGTATGGATTTCACGAGAACTATTGTCACAATCTGCATGATGATACTAGTGGCGGTGGGTCCTACTACAATGGCATCAAGGCCATTTCCATTTGATATCCATCCAGAAAAGGTTTGCTGCCCCCCTCATTCCCACTGTTGTAATGTCCCTTTTCCTGATCATGGACCCGAGGAAGATGATGTCAATGTGAACACTGTCGCACCTTCACCTTCACCTTCTATGGATCATGCTAAAAAGCCACACCCTTGATATCTTGATGGAAGAGAAGGTACTGAATAGTGGCTTGGTTTATGCAAGCAAACGTAATAAATACTGGTGTAATTTATATAAGTATGATGAATCTTTGTGTCTATGCTTATAAAAAGTCTGAAATGTAATGCCAGTTGTTGGATTAAAAGTTAAAACAGATTATTTAAGGTTGATTTTGACATGTGTTTGTTGCCAAATATGATAAATGTTTCACCCTTTAGGAGATACTATTATAGACAATTTTTTGGCATGCAACTTTTGTTTGATTATTCGTTTTTGCATAGTGTCATTGATGAAGTGAGTTAAATTTCGTTTTTGTTGAGAAATGTAGAAAGTTTTTAACTTAATGTCAAGAATCTAATTACGGCATGAGCAGCTTAAGGGTGATTTAATTAAGAAAACTTCTATCTTAGGAGGAGTTTATTTAATCATTTATCTTTAAAATAAACCACATAATAGTTTTTTGAATGAAATGATAAAAAAGTTTTTATTTAATAAATATGATGTATAATTTTGGAATGTGGAAGTTACATTCCATAATTATAGGAATCCATCAATTATACAAGATTTATTCATATTGAATTATATTGTAAAGTTACTTTTATACATTTATATAGTGACTAGACTAATTTTCCCGCGTTGCGCGGCGCAGGTTAAAAATATATTGTTAAAAAATATGTTTAAAATGGTTGTTTATTGACATTAACTTTGACATAATATTTTTACACTAATTTATATATATAAAATCTCAACTATTTTGAACAATAGTATTCATTGACATCAACCCACCTTCCTCACTAATAGAAGTAAATATAATTATCTATTTAGTATTATTATTTATAACAAATGTTATGATTGATTAATTAAAATTTTTTACTTATGCGATTATTTTCTAATTTAAATAATGAATGATCATTTAGAGTACAATTTATTTCTAGCTAGCGTTACATAATTTTTAATTTGATGTTATTATCATTTAAAATTATTATTCATTAATTTTAAAATATTATCATTATTAATAATTTAAAGAAGAATTTTAAGATACACTTAATATTATTATTCAAATATGAAACATATACTAAATAATAAAGTGATAAGATTGACAATTTGCATTTCAAAAGAGAATTTCATTGATAATATAGAATATCCATGATTTTTATAATTTGCCATTTATTATTATTAATAAGTGAAAGAAAACTTTTAAAAAACACTTACTATTATAATTAAAATGTTAAACATATACTAAAATACAAAGTGATAAGATAGACAATTTGCATTTTAAAAGAGACTTACATGGATAATATGGATAATATGACATATCCATGATTTTTAATTAATTATTTCTTTGAAGCTACACAAATATTCAAACATATATACAATATCTAATTAAATACTATTTATATCACATTCCATAACATATGATCGATAATATGAATCTAATCTAATTTAGATTAAAATTTCAACCACAACATACAATGATTGTCTTAAAAGAATACTTAAACCAAGAATATATATATATATATATATATATATATATATATATATATATATATATATAGAGAGAGAGAGAGAGAGAGAGAGAGATTGACCTTTTTATTGTAGACTATCCATTAATTGTTTATTAATCATATTATATAAGTTATAAAACATTTGAATAGTTAATCATTATTAAGAGACTTTTGAGTGGTATTCATTCAAATAGGAGGTTTCAAATGAATATGGTTTGAGTAAAAATAGAAGTTAAATAGCCTTGGGATTGAAATGTTGTTGTACAGAATAGAAATTTCGGACTTTTCTGACTTCTATTGAATTGAAATGTTGTACAGAATAGAAATTTCGGGTTGTCACATCACCCCCCCCCCCCCCTTAGAAGGAATTTTGTCCCGAAATTAGAGTTTAAGCAAATAAGTAGTTACAAATAACTAAGTAAAAAGACAAGGATATTTCAGTTTCATCTGATCCTCTCACTCCCAAGTGAATTCAGGTCCTCACTTGGCGTTCCAGCGAACCTTCACTATCGGGATGCGACTCTGTTTCGTTTGCTTGACCTCCCGGTCCATGATCTCTACTGGTTCTTCCACGAAGTTGAGGCTCTCGTTGATCTCGATCTCGTCGAGTAGGATTACAAGAGTCTCGTCGGACAGACACTTTTTCAAGTTCGAGATGTGGAAGGTAGAATGTATGTTACTGAGTTCGCTCGGTAAGTTAAGTTTGTAAGCTACAGGGCCGATTCTTGCTAGAATCTCGAAAGGCCCTATGTACCTTGGATTTAGCTTTCCACGCTTGCCGAAGCGTATCAAGCCCTTCCAGGGTGAGACCTTCAATAGAACACGGTCGCCCACCTGGAATTCCAACGGTTTCCTTCGTTTATCAGCGTAGCTTTTCTGTCGGTCTCTAGAGGCTTTCAATCGTTCACGAATCTGAACGATCTTCTCTGTCGTTTCCCGAATGATCTCCGGACCTGTGAGAGTGCTTTCAGGAACTCATCCTTTAGCTAACTGGGTATCACCCACCTCAGCCCAGCACAGAGGGGATCTGCACTTTCAGCCATAGAGGGCCTCGAATGGAGCAGCCTTTATGCTCGTGTGATAACTGTTGTTGTAGGAAAATTCTACAAGGGGTAAATGAGTATCCCATGCTTTCCCAAAGTCGATCACACAGGCTCGCAGCATATCTTCCAAGGTTTGGATAGTTCTCTCACTTTGTCCGTCTGTCTGAGGATGGTAGGTTGTACTCATGTCCAGCCTAGTTCCTAGGGAACTTTGTAGCGACTGCCAGAACCTCGAAGTGAATCTACTATCTCTGTCCGAGATAATGGATATCGGAATACCATGCAGTCGTACGATCTCCCTAATGTAAGTTCTTGTAAGCTTCTCCATCTTGTCTGTCTCTTTGATAGGCAGGAAGTGTGCGGACTTGGTCAATCTGTCGACGATGACCCATATGGTATCAAGTCCACCCGTTGTCTTTGGCAACTTGGTTATGAAATCCATAGTGATCCACTCCCACTTCCACTCCGGTATCTCAGGCTGTTGTAGAAGACCGGAAGGTTTCTGGTATTCGACCTTGACCTTGGCGCAAGTAAGGCATTTACTCATGAAGGTAGCAATCTCTGCTTTCATGTTAGGCCACCAGTATAGCTTTTTAAGATCCAGATACATCTTATCTGAACCCGGGTGGACGGAATAACGAGTGTTGTGCGCCTCGTTCATGACCAAGTCTCTGAAACCACCAAGTTTCGGGGTCCAGATCCGATCCATGAGATAATAAGCTCCGCCACCCTTAACGTCCAAGTTCTTATCCATTCCTCTCAGGGATTCACCTGCCACATTTTCAGGTTTCAAAGCGTCGAGCTGAGCCTCCTTAAGTTGTGTGGACAAGTGTGAATGGATAGTCATAGTCAATGACTTGACTCTACGACCAGAATATTCTTTCCGACTTAGGGCGTCAGCTACTACATTGGCTTTACCCGGATGATAACGAATTTCGCATTCGTAATCACTGAGTAGCTCGACCCACCGTCGTTGTCTCATGTAGAGCTCCTTCTGGTCGAATATATGTTGTAGGCTTTTGTGATCTGTAAAGATTGTGCTTTTTGTACCGTACAGGTAGTGTCTCCAGATCTTCAGAGCAAACACAACTGCTCCTAACTCAAGATCGTGGGTGGTGTAGTTGACCTCGTGTGTCTTCAGCTGTCTCGAGGCATAGGCGATGACCTTACCTCGCTGCATCAGAACACACCCGAGTCCTTGATTTGACGCATCACAATAGACAACGAAGTCTTCTATCCCTTCGGGGAGGGATAGTATTGGTGCGGTGCACAAGGCTCGCTTGAGCGTTTGGAACGCTCTCTCCTGCTTCTCTTCCCAGTCAAAGACCACGCCCTTCTGGGTCAGTGTCGTAAGAGGTTTCGCAATGCGGGAGAAGTTCTGAATGAACCTGCGATAGTAGCCAGCGAGGCCTAGAAATTGACGAATTTCTGTAGGCGTCTTCGGTGCTGACCAGTTCTCAATGGCTTTGATTTTGGATGGGTCCACGTGTATTCCCTCCTCGCTAACCACGTGCCCTAAGAATTTGACTCGTCGGATCCAAAATTCGCATTTCGAGAACTTCGCATAAAGCTTCTCCGAACGTAGTGTTTCTAAGATTAGTCGTAGATGCTAACTATGCTCCTCCTTACTACGAGAGTAGATTAGTATGTCATCGATGAAGACGATGACGAACTGATCCAAGTAAGGACGACACACCCTATTCATTAAGTCCATGAATACAGCGGGAGCGTTTGTTAATCCGAACGGCATTACTACGAATTCGTAGTTGCCATAACGAGTTCGGAAGGCTGTCTTCGGAACATCCTCCCCTAGTACTCGTAGTTGGTGATATCCGGATCTTAAGTTGATTTTTGAAAAGAAATTCGCCCCTTGAAGTTGATCGAATAAGTCGTCTATCCGAGGCAAAGGATAACGATTTTTGACGGTCAACTTGTTGAGCTCCCTGTAGTCGATGCACATACGAAACGATCCGTCTTTCTTCTTGACGAACAAGACTGGAGCTCCCCAGGGTGAGAAGCTTGGTCTTATAAAGCCCTTGCTGAGCAGTTCGTTAAGTTGACAGGATAGTTCTTGCATCTTTGCAGGTGCTAGACGGTAAGGCGATTTGGCTACTGGAGTAGCCCCTGGAACTAAGTCAATTCTGAACTCGACTTGTCGTTGCGGAGGTAATCCGGGTAGTTCTTCTGGAAAGATGTCGGGAAAATCGCGTACTACTTGGATGTTTTGAATGTCTTTCGTTTCTTGGCTCACATCGACCACATGAGCAAGGAATGCGCGACATTCCTTTCGCAAGAATTCCTGAGCTTGAATGCTCGAGATGATACGAAGGTTCGTGCCGGGTTTGTCGCCATAAACTACTAGAGTTTCTCCAGACGGCAGATTAAGGCGAACAGCCTTTTCGAAACACATGATGTCGGCACGCTGAAGACTCAACCAATCCATGCCGAT